ACACACACACTCACTGTAACACACACACACACTCTCACTGTAACACACACACACACACATACATACATGTATACACTCATATACACACACACACACACACACTCTTACACAAACATGCATAGACACACATGGCTCATTCTGCATCTCTTGTTTTTATTTAACTTTTTTTTTTAATCACTTGTCTGGTTAATGACAATCATTTTCAATCTCATGACTTGTGAGGTTTCTGAGGTGTTTTTCTGCTTGCAGTCGTGGCATTAAGCCTGACCGTGTTCATATATTTTATACATAAAGGCAAAGATGAACACCCTTTCATTTGTAGTTTGATTAATAAAAAATATGGATTAATAAGTTTTGTTATTGGGTGTTTTTAAGTCATGATTGACTAGAAATGTTAAGCTGCTGTTAAAGGGACGTTCAGCCAAACATCATTCTGTCAGATTTACTGACTGACGTTCTTCTGTGGAGCAGAAAAGCCGTGAGGTCCAGTGTTGTTTGGGTGATCTGTCCCTTTAAAAATATCAATAACATGCTCATAATCTGCTTAAAGGAATGAAAATGTTGTCATTTACTCTCCCTCATGTCATTCAAACCTGTATGAGTTTCTTTCTTTTGTTGAACACAAAACAAAAATAACATTTTGAAGAACCAAACCGTTGTTGGTCCTCTTTGACTTCCATCGTAGGAATAGAAACACAAAGGAAGTCAATGGGGATCATCATCAACTCTTAGATTACCAGCATTCTTCAAAAAAAATCTTCTTTTGTGTTCAGCGTAAGAGAGAAACTCATACAGGTTTTGAACGACGTGCGTAAATGACAAAATTAACAGTTTTGAGTGAACTGTCCCTTTAAATCATGTCGCCCATTATTGTCCAGCACTGCGTTTATTCACTTTATACACAATAAATTAGCTAACATTTAATCGTCACCGATGATAGTTAACGTGGGAATGAATATGATTGTCTGCTATGTATTTTGTACGTGTGTGTGTGAGCCGGGAGCGGGCTAATCGTGTCTCGTTCTCTCCTGACAGCTCAGCACCTGCAGCAGCAGACCGGAGAGTGTCTCACGGCTTGTTGCAGCGGATCGAACCCTAAAAGCCTGTCTCTCTCGGATCCGGCCCAGACCCACAGTCGTCCCTCGGCGGACCGGCCGTACCACTGCCAGGACTGCGGCAAGTACTTCCGGATCAACGACATCAAGCGGCACCAGCGCATCCACAGCGGAGAGCGGCCCTTCCCCTGCTTCCAGTGCGGCAAGAACTTCCCCACGTCTGGGGACCTGAAGAGACACGAGCGCATCCACACGGGCGAGCGGCCCTACCACTGCCTGCAGTGCGGCAAGAACTTCTCCGACTCGGGCCACCTCAAGCAGCACGAGAGGATGCACACGGGCGAGCGGCCCTACCAGTGTCCGCAGTGCTCCAAGTGCTTCTACCGCTCCGGAGACCTCAAGCGGCACCAGCGGATCCACAGCGGCGAGCGGCCCTACCACTGCAACCAGTGCGACAAGACCTTCTCCGACTCCGGACACCTGCGGGGCCACCAGCGCATCCACACCGGAGAGAGGCCCCACCGCTGCACACTCTGCGAGAAGAGCTTCTTCAGATCGGGCGACCTGAAGCGGCACCACAGAACGCACACGGGCGAGCGGCCCTACCAGTGCTTCCAGTGCGGGAAGAGCTTCTCTGAGTCGGGACACCTGAAGGAGCACCGGAGGATCCACACCGGAGAGAAGCCCTACCACTGCAACCAGTGCGACAAGAGCTTCTCCCGGCTGGAGCGGCTCAAGGGCCACCAGAGCATCCACACGGGCGAGAGGCCCTTCCACTGCACGCAGTGCGGCAAGAACTTCTTCCGCTCGGGAGAACTGAAGCGGCACCAGAGGATCCACAGCGGTGAGCCAGCGTGAGCGCCTGGAGAGAGCACAAACACCTGAGAGACGGCAGCCGATCGCCGAGCTTTCCTGTTCGCTTTCCTGATAGAAATCAGCAGTGCTGTGTGTCGTTATTCATGTGTTTGTTGTCGTAGACCGTCTGAAGTGCTAGCTCTGATCTGATGCTCCTCACACTCTGTATGTTGTTCAGAAATATATAGTGCAGTGACTCATTAGAACTGTATATTGTACAGGAGCATATTATTACTGTGTGTGCTCACATTCCATGTATTTAATGAGTCTCCCTCAAACTGTCTGTGGTTATTTCTTTTATATATAAACTGAACTGTTTTACTGCCCACATGAGCAGACGCCACTGAAGCGTCTCTGGTTTCTCTCGATGCTGGTGGTGTTTTACTAGCTGCCGGAAATCTCGTGTGCGAAACACAGAGTAACACAGTTATTGTTTCACTGTAACACTATTAACTCGTGAAAGCGTTACAGAGTATAGATGTGCTGTAATTCAGCAGCTGATGGTGATTAATATAGTAGACTGTGCTCATGAATCACATTAGATTTACCTTTTAACTTTTTTTAATTAGCTCTTTACACTTGTTATTGTT